AGGGCCATATTGTGTGGGGGTGGAGGATGTGTAGTTTGTCTGGATTGTGCATGTGGCAAGGGGGAAGCTAGTCTGGGTTGTTCACGCAGCAGGGATAGAAGGGGAAGGGAGAGAGCTGGCCTGGGCTGTACATGCAGTGGGTGGGAAGCAGGACTAGGGCTGGGGTGGTTGTGGGGGGGGAGTGTCCCCTGGGGTGTGGGGCTTCCAGATCTCCATCAGACACTTTGTCCGGCCCTCAGCTGCTGAGAAGTTGGACAACCCACCTTCAGTTGAAGATAAAAAATGGAAAACTGAGTGGATGTGATGAATTGAAGACAGGAGTAAGGACAAGAACATTTGAAAGGAAGGATGTAGCTCATCAACTGATGAGACTGTTCTGTGATGTGTACTGCACTTTCAAATATTAGAGAGATAATAACTGTTTTTGGTAACCTATAGAACCATATTTTAGGGGAACACTGGTTCAGTTCAGATGCGAGTAAAAATCCATTTTTGCTCAGTCCCCAAACTATATTGAAATTCTGTTTCTCAAAAAGGGTATACAAATTCAAATTCAGAAGAGTTGTTCTTTTTACACTTCATTGGATCAGAAATATCTTTGACAATGTGAATGGAAAACTTTTTTGCCTCCTTCGTTTTCCTTTTAACAAAAAAATCAGGATTGTAGAAATCTGTGGACACTGATACTATGTTAACATTGGTTTCAAAGAAGGGAAAAAACCCAAAAGTTTTGACTGGCCTTGGAATGAAAATGAGTATATCTTGGGATTTTTTTGGACTGAAAAGAAGTTATTTTGCTAGGTGATAAAAACTTTTCCTCTCAGGGGTGCAATTATTTCTTAATTGTCTTTTTTTTTTAATATTTACATAAGTGAAGTCTGAACACCTTTTTTTTCCCCATCAAATAGACATGTGAAGGAAAATTCTGATGGTTGGGATTTTTGTTTCCTTATAGTTGGTTGAGATGTTGGATATGTCTGTCCCTGCAGTTGCTAAGCTGAGACGACTTTTAGACAATTTGCCTAGAGAAGCTTTGCCAGATATACTGACTTCGATCATTCGCACAACCAACCAAGAGAAGCTTCAGGTATTGCCTTCTTAACGTGCAAGGAGGGGGTTAAGGATTTGGTACTTGTATTTTAATGCATTATTAGATAACTTCAGAATAACACTTACTTGACTTATAGATGACTATAGTGCCTCCACCATTAGCTGTTCGGCTGTTGGTGTAAATCTCTGGGGTTTTTTTTCCTTTTCTAAATTATTTGTTGCTTGCTTGGCAGGAAACCACAATAAGTTTCATTTGCCTAATAAGAGATTCTTTGTCTAAATGTCGTGGTTAATATGAACAGATTTGGAATTCAGTATGAAAAGTGAAGATATGTGTATGTGTGTATATATGTATACATACACAAGTAAAGGAAAATCAGGGACATGAGTTGGGGCTTGTGGGATTACTGGAGGAGATCATCCTACAGTTTTCTCAGATGGCTGGGTTGTACCCTCAAGCTTAACTGAGAAATGAATGCTGCAGGGGGCACACCTAGAATAAAGAGGTGCATTTAGAAAAAGAAGTAGGCTTAGACTAGCTTTTAACTTCCCAGCTCCTTAACAGCGGTATCATTTCTGAGGGCATTAGATGCCAGTCCTGCAATATTATACATACTTCAAACCTTTATCAAATACCTGAGAAGCTCGGTAATGAATGCTATATACAAATGGCTAGTGAAAACTAGCCATTATGGCCCCCAAATTTCTCCACCCTTACTCTGGAAAATTCTATTAAGGCAAGTGCATTTCTCTGCCAGTAAAACAAAGCAAGGTATTACATATTCATTAATCGCAATTAGAAAGAGGGCTATTTCTGTTTTCAAAGGTTTCCTTTGCTTCTCATATTTCTTTCAGTTCTTGGGCTGGAATATTTCCAGTTGCCTTTGGTCTGGTTTAACATCAGATGCAAACCCTGAAGTCATTTCACATACTGCATGTTCTGTTCTTCTGTTAATGGGCACTCTTGCAGGTTTTGTTTTTGGTTTTTGGAAAGTGCCTGCCCTGACTCCGATCAAATGTATTAGTAATCCAAAGGAAATCTGCAAGTTACTGTTTGCTGGGAATTAAACTTTAAATGATACAGGGAAATGCTGCTAACTATTTTCATTTTTATTCCATGCTTTTAGATTTTGGATGCTGTTAGCTTGGAGGAACGATTCAAGATGACTATACCATTGCTTGTTCGACAGATTGAAGGTCTGAAGCTGCTTCAGAAAACCCGAAAACCCAAACAGGATGATGATAAAAGGGTAACAGACCTCTAAATACAGGATTTTCAAATGTAATAATGTCAGGTCATTTTTCAAAAGTGGCCTCCAAAAATTGAACCTGCAGTCATTCATGTTTAATTTGTGGAAGTAATTTTACATACTCGTATTTAACCTGTACGAACATCTGACTTACATAATATACACAAGTTGGCAATTTTTAATGGTTTTCTAGATGGATAAATAAAATATTGTAACACTTGTTACGCTTTTCGCTTTTTGACATCCATTACAAATACAAATTGACAGCAAAGGTATTAATTCTTTTGTAAATTCTTTTTACATATATTGAGTGTTCTCATGCACAGCTTAAAAGTGAAAAATTTGAGTAGAGCTTTCAAGTTCACACTAAAGATTCTTTCAGAATATGGTCTTTGTTAGGTTTCAGTGTTAGAATTAAAATTTGTAATGGTTTATCCATGAAGCAAATTGAGATCTATAGGTTGCCAAAACATGATAATCTGATCACATCACAAGATTTGGTATATATGCAGCCATGTATATTTGCTAATGATGAGTAATTACTTTCATGGGAAGTAGAGGGTGAAGGGGGTCAAACCAGAGTTTGCAAACTGCATGGAGGTGCAGGTTAAATGTGGCTCCTTAAGAAAGAGAAGTAATTAGAGAAGAAAACCCTGTGTTTTCATTTAGCTGTTTCTTATTTCTTGGGTTTGATTTTTCTTCAACTCTTATTATTTATTCTAAGAAGACATTTTAAAACAAATTATTATTTTAGCTGGGACTCTATGAGTCCGTCTACATGTTACCCTGCTTTAGTACTTCCTTTTGGAAGTACCAGGGGAGCACTTTGCTGTGGCAGTGTAGCTGGCAATTGCATGTGGACCTGCAGGATCACTACTTTGCTGTAGTGTGCCGCTATATCACTGTAGGACAATGTGTAGACGCACCTTCTGTACACCTTTTTTGATTCTGGGACATGTACTTCTTGAAAGTTTTGTGTCATGTCCTACTTTATACTAACTGTATAGGTCAGACCGTTGTAATTACTATAGAATGTACTACAGAGATTTGAAAAGCATTTTTAACAGTACCTTCAGATTTCTTTCTTGTCATCTAGAATCTTAGTGTACTTTGTAGATAGATTCAAAAGGACCTGTCTGCTCATTTTAATAGATGCTATTACATATTGAATAAGTTTACGAATTGTATTCAGATCTGATTTTATTCATAACATGGATAAAATAACTTCTTGCAGTAGTTTATGCTTCTTTCTCTTGACCTCAATTTATAGTATGCTTTTTGAAAAAGATATTGAGGTGCAACTGTGTACATCTCTTCTGCTTCTTAGGTTGTAGCTATTCGTCCTATTAGAAGGCTCAATCACATTCCAGGTGCTGCAGAGGAAGAGGAGGAAGAAGAAGATCATGATGATGTTGTCATGCTAGAAAAGAAAATTAGAACATCCAGTATGTCAGAGCAAGCTCTTAAAGTATGTCTAAAAGAAATGAAGAGGTAGGTGATAAGGCCTCTAAAATAGCACCTTTTTTAATTGATTCATTTACTTTACGACTTAAATTAGCCAGTCTTGCCATATACTTTGTTTTCTTGATGTTATTTTTTGCTGATTATTTTGACAAATAGTTGTTTTTATGCCTGGTATTTCATCTCTTTAGAGTGCCTACAATTAAGAAAGCACGTGATGTTTAGAAATGGGTATAACATTACAGTACAAACATTAAGCCTCCTTATACCTGAAAATGGATAACATGCTTGGTCTTTAAATATATAGTAGGGAAACTTTGACCTTTCTGGCACCATGATACAAAATACGTCTGTAGCCTAAACGATCTGAATAGGTAAAAGGTTTAAAATAAAAGGGATGAACGCTATCATGAAATTAGTGTTGATCGCATGACGCAGGTTCTGTTGGATGACAGAAAATGTTGCTTTCCTTTATTTAAAAAAAAAAAGCATTGATACCATCTTTGGTTAATAATGAATAACCACAAAAAGGCTTGTTGGAGAGACAATAGTCATGATCATGTAATGAGAACATCAGAATGTGTATTTGCAAGAGAGCCAAATTATGAGTTCAAAGATAATTTTAATTTTGGCATTTGCTTCCCCTCATAGCCACTAACTTTCTAACTGTACCTGCCATACTGCAGCCAACTCCGTCTTCTCCTCTCCCCATCACTATAAACAGCCAGTTACCTAGGCTGGAGGCTGTTCAGGTAGTCTGTGGGGGTGGTATATATATGATCTGGCTAAGTAAGAGTTGTAACTGGATGGAGTGAGGATGGAATGTCTGGGGCTGTGAGCTGTTAAAATTGAATCTTCTGCTGAGTATTGGCAAGCTGTAGTCTTCAAAGGCTTAGAACTTGGCCAGTTTTGGGTAGGTTCTCATGAGGATGGCAAAAGATACATTCCTGACATGGTCTCCTGAGTTCCAGTAGTGAATTAACCATCAGGTCAAACTGAGACCTAGCTGTTTTTCTCTGCATTGAAATTACCAAAATAGAAATAAAGTGAGAAATTTTAGAGGTATATTTCAAGGGAATTAAATCTCTGCTGCCTCCTTGCATTTACACTTTTTGTACAGACTCATAAGCAAAAAGAGGTACAGGAAACCCTTGCTATTCGTGATCTCTGGATTTGTGGATTCAAATATTTGTGGGGGAGGGCAGAGCCAGGAGGCGGGTGGAGAGTGAGTGCCGGGGATGGGTGG